TTTTGCTAAATAGTACCACAACCAGCCCATGACTCTTCCAGCCCCATGAAAAAACCCATTCTGAAACACTGGCCGACACGGCGCATGCGGGTATGTGCATGTATGTGTATGTGGGTATGCGTATATGTACATGTGTATATATGAGTGTGTATGTGTGTGTCTATGTGTGCGTATGTGTGCGTGTGTATGCATGTGTGTATGTATATGTATGTGCGCATCTGTATGTATGCGTATATCTGTGCATGTACGTGTGTCTATTTATGTGTGTATGAATGTGCGTATGTGTATGCACGTGTGTATGTGTATGTATGTGTATGCATGTGTGTGTGTGCATGTATATGTGTGCATGCGCATGTATTTGTGTGGATGTTTGTACGTGTATGTACGTATGCGCATGTATGTGTATATGTGTATGTACATGTATGCGTGTGTATGTGTATGTATGTGTGCATGCGTATGTGTGTACATGTATGTGCGCATGTATATGTATGCGGGTACGTATATGTGTATGTATTTGTGTATGTGTATGTCTCTGTGTATGTATGTGCGAATGTGCCTATATGTATGTGTGTATGTGCATATGCATGTGTGTATGTGTATGTATGTGTGCATGTGTATGCGAGCGTGGGTTTTTATCCGACACTCAAACTTATATTTTTTTTCAATCGATAGCATATATTTTTAAGCGAAAATCATAATTTGTCAAACGCAGCCTGCTACATTCGTCCCTAATTAACGAATTTGGGACGAACTATCGTTTGAAGTAATAATGATCTTAAATCTTAATAATCTTAGATTAAGCAATCTTAATAATAAAAGTAATCTTAATCTTAATAAAGTAATAAAGTAACCTTAATAATCTTAATAAAAGTAGTAATCTTAATCTTAATAAAGTAAAGTGATAAAATAATCTTAATAATCTTAATAAAAATAATAATAATCTTGAAGTAACGATCTTTGATCTGCTCTTGTGATAGATTAAAAATTTCGAAACAGAATCTCAGAATTTTAATAAAAATAAGTAAGCACTTGCCAGAATGAGTTCGAACAGAGTGCCCTGATCAACTTTGAGGAATTCCACATCCCATGATGGGATATCGTCCGTTCGCTTCTCCTTATTTTCACTGTCATCTGGTGGGATTGGATCGTCCTTATGATACTGGCACCACTGGATCACCTTTAAAAAACAGAGTTTTTTACAACAAATCTTAGTAAATAATAATCTTCAATAATCTTAAAACTTGATAATCTTAGATTTAGGTGATGCTTGCATCGTAGAATTCTGCTTATACCTTCTTCAGGATGGAGGAATTGACATTCTGAAGTGGAATGCCATCACCCATATCGATATCACCTCCGTCCTGGTTGTCCATACCAAGATCTGCAATG